CAGCAGACGCTTATCCAAAGCGATTGACAATAAGTGCATCAACCATGAGGGTACAAACCCAGAACAGCTAGAATCAGGTAAGTACAATTTGCTTAAAAAAAGCCAAACTACAGGCGACATGCAAGCGTAATTTTTTATTGATTTGTTTTAATTTTATGTAAAGCACCGGAGTTGACGGAGGTTTATCATTTCCTAACCAAGGTGCAGTCTGAAGAGATGTGTCTTAAGCTCGGGCGGAAGATGTCTAGACTTTCTGCTGTCCAAATGTCAATGGGGAGCCCGTTCCACCATTTAGGATTGGGGACAGCAAATGTGAGGGGCAGCAAGCTGATTGGCGATTGACGTGCAAGTACTATTGTTTTGAAACTAATGCAGAATTAATTGTAATAAATGAAGAATGTAATAAAAGCAATAAATATCACAAGAGGGGTTTTCACACTTTTTTAATGTTTTCAATTGACTTAACCCTTGTGTGGTGTTACTCTCACTGCATTACTGGGTTTTTAGATCAAAATGTATAAAAATACTTAACATGTATTTACTTTATCCCACTTGTATGCAATATAGACTTGCCATTTACCTCTGTTAGATCACATTTATGAATATAATCAGCCCCATTGAATTCATGAACACATGAGGGGCAGATTTTTTGTGCGTTGCATATGTATTTCTTGCAGTTGATGCATGTATACTACGTCTTCCTGTCCATCTTGGGTCCACACACACTGCAGCATTTCTTTTTGTTGCTACCTGGTTTGATCTATTTCTCTCTCTAAATGAATTGAATCCAGAACGATTTTCTGGAGAGTTCAAAGTTCAAGGAAAGGTCTCAAGCTCATCCTCTTTTTCAAGCTCACTCTGAATTGAAGGATATGTGATAGTCACCTATAAGGCTCTTCCTCCATAATCTTCTAAAACTCCAAGGCCCATCTGAGCAGAGAATCTTGATTACTTGTGATAAGGAGTCACACAGGTAAAGCTATTTATTTTCTGTATCCCGCCCCCAGTTTGCAGCTGGGAGTGTGAGAAAATACAGAATGGTTCCCTTAAGACGGAATGCAAAATCTGCAGGAATGTGGGAGCAGAGAGGTGTAGGTGCTTGAAATGTATCAGTGTTGTAACCAAGTGAATGAATAGCACATGCAGACAGAAGACAAAATTCACACTAGTACCAAACAAGGGTTAATTGGTTCCATGATGGTCTCCACTGATTCAGTTTCCATTGAATCGCCATTTAATACAACTTTGTCTTATTGTTTGGCTTTGTGTGTTGTTTTCCTCCATAACACACCCAACAAGTCATTTAATGAATCTATTTGATGAACTAAAAGGATATCCTATATTTCACAATAACTAATTTTAATAAAACCAATTTATTAGTGTTTTAAATTTGTTTAATAGTAACTGAAATTAATTTGCTGAATATGGGTAACAAAAAGACACATGCGTGCATTTGATGGATAAAAACCTCTAGTTTGTAGCAAGATGTTGCTTTATCACCTCTGGACCTTTTTTGTAGAAAGACTTTCTTTCACTAGCTTGACTGTCTATGTGGGTAACAAAGTTGTCTTTATCAAAGTACATCACTTGTTCAAATGTAATTTGTTGGCAGATGGTGTTTATTTATGTTTGCAGGGGAAAATATGAAGGTGATTTCTTTTATCTTGTTAATTAAAGGTACCAAACTGAGTCACAACAGATGAAATTGTGTGCATCAGGCTACAGTAGAAGCATTTACATGTTTTGTTTTTTCAGAGAGATTTTTCCAATTTCTTTCTTTCTTTTTTTGCCATCACAGAACTCTAACCTTGAGATATTAGCACACAAACCCACACCTGCATGGTGTGAAAACTGTTCACTGAAGTCACCTGTGTTACCGAAAAGTGCACCTGCTGCTAGAATCATAACGTCAGTGGGACACTGACTGAAATATGTTTATCCTGCACTACAGTGTAGACTTTAACCAGCTGGAGTCGAGGATAAATTATCCACACAATCTCAAAATCAGCGGAATAAAAACCAAACCAGCTAGAAAAGGAAATCAGCGATGCTCACGGAGGTGATGACCAGTGGTTCATTTCTGATCCAGCCCTTTGTTGTGTGGGTTTCCCAATTTAATAAAACATAATGTTAGTGTTTAAGCCTAAATTCAATTAATTTAAAAGTGTTACAATATTTTCCATTCATTGCTGATTAAACCTTATCAATATCAGGAATGTTCTAATTCTTGATCATATAATAATCAAGATTATCTAGATTATAGGCAGGAAGAAATGGAGCAAAGACACAGAAATGGTTTAATGAAATGGAAACACTGAGAAAGTTAGTGGAATGATTGAAAAAGGTCAGAGGGAGAAGCAGAGGAAACAGAACAAGAATGATTGAGAGAAAGAGAGAGAAAGAGAGAGTGAGAGAGAGCAAAGAAAAGAGATTCACCAGGATCTGCACTGGCCCAGCAGCAGCTGTCACTAGACTTGTGACACCCCCCACTGTGCCACAACTGAGCCCAATGAGGAATAATGAGCTTTAGAAATCCACAAAGGTCACTCTTCCTCTCCAGTCCAGCACAATCAGAAATGCCACCACAAGAGCTTTTTCTAAAGTTGTGAGAAGGGGATGTGGTGGTGGTGGTGGGGGGGGGGGTAAAACCTAAAGACGGGGAAAAGCAGAGCCAAGCAGTCTAAAAAAGAAGATCTCCCCCTTTATCTGACAACCTGAAGAGCAGAGGAGCAGTGGGGGGGCTACAGAGGAGATGAGAGAATTAAAGAAGGAGGAAAGAAAAGAAGAAGGAAAGGAAAATATTAAGGATGATATGGGGAGACTGTGTACTAATAAGAAGGCATAAATTGTTGAACTGAGACAGTGTGAGGCGTTCGGTGGTGATGCAGAGAGAGAGAGAGAGATGATAGGATTTTAATCATTAGAGGGAGAGCAGGGCAAGACTGAAATATGATATAAAGCTTCAGCATGTGACATAGAGGGGTATCAGTGAGGATACCGATGGTAGATGATCTGTCCTTCCACTTCCTACTTCCCCACTTACTCAGTGGGTGGAGGGAGAGAGAATATATTATCTTTAACCTGTAGTATATCATCCAGGAACATATGGCACTTAATTGTCTCACTTGAACTTTACAACAGTTGAACTACTCCACAGTATAATAACGCACTACATTTTAATGCCCCAATCTGCAATTAATGCAAGGAGCAGATTCTGCCCGACTGTAAGTGTCCATATGGCCTGCATCCCAACTGCAGATAATTTAGAAGAGTTCACACTTCGTCTGGGCTGCAAGAGGAAAGCAAGAATGTGCGGAAAACTGCACACAGTCCCACATTTTGGATGTTAACGAAAATTTGAAGAGTAAAAGAGAAGAAACATGCTGCCAGGAGTTCATTGTGGACTTGTGTTAAAAAAAATCACATAACACAACTGAAACTATCAATTCAATTCCAAGTGGAGTGGTTTGGGGAATTTACTTATTTGTTTTATTGCCACGCAAATCAAATTTTAGCGTCTCCTTAGGCTGCAGGATCATTTGCGTTAAATGCGAGTAAACGCAACCCCGTCAATATTCATCCATCCTCCTCCAGAAAGAGGAGAGACGGACTGCTGGAAGAAGTGACTACAATTGTTGTGTTCCTGTTGTGGAAATATCACACAGCTCGAGGAATGTCACCGTCATCTTCACTGCCTCTGGGTGATTACCGTTCCAAGCTACCTGTTGAGTTTCATTCTCAATGCTGATTGTTTTTGCGACATTGCGTCATGTTAATTGTTTCACTCATTTTCATATATTTTAACTTGACAGAGGGAGCTTTCCAACTTCAAAGTACATGAACACATGAAAGTTGGACCAACAACCTTACAATTTGTGAAATGGGACCTTCTGAGGAGCATGTGAATGCACAGCTCACGGCTGAAACTGAAATTTGTGAAGACAAGTGACCACATTTCTCATATAACTTGTGTGGCTACATCACTGGGACTTTACAGAGGGAGCCTTCCTTTCCTGTGGGGCCCATCGCACTCAGCTTAGATTTCTTTGTGAGACTGAAGTCCAAAATCAACAACTTCAAATTAATTATGCACGGCTAAATGCGGCCAAACATTTAGATGACTCTACTCTTTCCAAAGCTCATTAAAAGCTAGAATGGCACTCAGTCAAGCGCATGCCTACGCCAAGGCCCAGCAGTCACCTTAAATTCAACCAGGCTGCACACGCTCAATCAAGCTGCACATGCTCATAAATATCAGTCCCTTAAATATAACAGATTTTTTTCATCAAGTCCATGAATAATTCTTTGGGCAATTGGGAAAAATCCTGGATCCTTGTTGGGATCTGAGTCAACATTTAAAGCGTGTAAGATTTAGGTGAAAGGGATCTATTGGCAGACATTTCATATAAAATAATCCTAATGATGTTTTAACTATTACGAATTGTTGTTTCTTTACCCTAGAATTACCCTTTATATTTCAAAACTTTATATTTAAATTGGGAGTCCTCTCTGCGGAGGCTGCCATGTTTTTTACAATCCTCCAAACTGGACAAACTAAACACCTTTTGAGTTCTCAGGTATTTTTCATCATGCAAATTCACCATTAAATTCTACTCACTGAACCTTTAATGGGTTCTTTTGTGGCCCACATCTCATTCTTGCACCTAGTTTTGTAAAAAATCTGTTTTTGTGGAGTCCTACTGAAAAAAAACCCAAAATAAAAACAACTTATTTAGTTAGGACTTTTCGTTTCTCTTTTTGGATCTTTTGTTGGACTCATTGTGTTTAGGTCCTTTAAACTGTTGTGTTCTTTGTGCTTGGATTTTTAGATTTGTGTCTTTTTAATTTGCTCCTCAAAAGTGACATCTTCTCCCTTTTGTTTATTGGCTCATGCCCTGCTTTATTTTGAAACTCGCATCATGTCACATCGATGGTCACTTCACTTCCTTTTTGTTTCCCACTTCCTTCATCACCTGCATGTTGATGTGTCACACCTGTGTCTCTCCCCACCCTAGTAGCACCTGGGTCTAGTTAACTTCTGCATTCATACCCTGTGCTCCCTTGTTTACATCCTCAGTTTGGTTCATTTCACTTTAGTTTTGTTCCACCTATGTTACCATGCTTTAGTTTTTAGTTATGATTACTTAAATTAGAGTTTTTAGACCTCTTTGACCAGCTTTTGTGTCTGTACCTGCATTTGGGTCTTTCTGCTCAACATGACACAACTAACCAACCAATGGACAGTAGTGAAAAGATGACCTGCTTGGTGGAGGTAACTATTGAAATTAACAATTGAATAAATTATTATTATAATCTGACATGTCCATAATGCCATGTTTATATCCTTTAGCCAAATGCGATGGCTGAATGAACAGTGCATTTGTCAAGAAGGGTTCTTGTTGAAGACTGAGTGAAGAAACGAAATGTCAATTATCTATTGGACTGCCTACTTGAGAAGTTTGTCTCAGGTTAAGTCATCCATGGCGCTGGAAAAGCACAGTGGTGGGAAGGAAATATTGCGGATTGCTTTCCTCAGACTCAACAGTGCTCCACACCAGTAATTCTATACACCACCGATGCTTCTCCTATAGATTTGGAAGTTGCACATTAGAGCCGGACTCCACAGAGCGATGAGTTCACCCCCACGTGCAAAGGGTAAGTTTACTATATGTTATGCTTGAACATAATAGATGAATGACAGGATGCTCCAATTAACATTGGATAATATTTATATATTTTATCATTTATATATTAAACACTGCAATATGCCACATAGCAGAATACAATAGAAAGTAAACATGAAATGAAATCTAATAAAACATTGGACACAAGGGATGTATGGCCATTAATGAACATACATTCGGACATTTAGGATTTTTCCAGTTTTGTAATAGTCTTGCAGCTTTGATAAAATGAACTTTTACTGAAATGTACAATGTAGCATTTGGAAATATTTCCAGATGTTTCCTTTACTTGCAAGATTATAATTATTTTGCGATTTCTGATGATAACTAAATACCCCCCACTCAAAAAAACTCCCAATTGTTTTTAATCCTGTCACCATTCTCCCCAGTACAAAGTTCTTTGCCCAGTGCTTATTTTGGGATGAGTGAGGAGTAATAATGATTTAAATCTTGCAGGCTTCATGCATTATATCCATACGCTCCTTGAGAAGGAGTCTTTTATAAACCAGATGAAATATAGACAATGTAAATGCGATGCAAGAGTCTACTCATAAACGGAACAATTCCCTTTTTACCAATATCTAGAATAAAAGCAGCTATGGGATGGTATGTGGAAAACGAAATGTACTATTTGCTCATATCTGACGTCAAGTATGACATCAATATTAGATAAGATTAGAATAGCTAACTTGATTCGAGTGCCTTTGTTCCTCTGCCTCCTCCTGAGAGCGTTGTACCTGGTTAACAGCTGACTCATCGTGTATGAAGTTCTGGTGAGTAGGAGGTAGTCAAATCTCTCAATCCCAGCCTGGACTGTCGTGCAGTAACAGTTTCATATTGGCGTTTTATCATCCTCACCCCTGAAACAGTAGTTCCCCTGTGAAAAACTTCAATATGTGAAACAACAACTTTTCCCACACTGTATTGGCAGTTTAGTGATTACTATTACCTTATATAGTTAAGGGTAATGGAAAATAATCCACGTCATGTAAATCTAAATCAGATACATTTAACAATATTATAGACAATACATACTTTTCTCAACTTGCTTATGTAACTGTTTCAGTTCAAGAAGCAGCTGGGTACTCATTCCAAAATACAAAGTACAAATATGACTATTTTGCAGTACTATAAATACTGGGGAAACAACTAGACCAACCACACACAGTATCACAGCAAGATTGTTTTCTTGTTTAATCCAGTAAAATGAAGATATTCTACATGTTGGCTCATATTAACTTGATGGATGGGTTCATTCTGCTAGGAGGAGGAGGCAGGGATCAAATCTTTGAACCTCTGGGAAATGAAAGACCCGCTCATCCTCCTGAGCAACAGCCGCCGCCTATCAAACAGGTATGCTACACACTAAATTAGTTAGATCGAGCTGAAATATGACCAAGGTTTTATTTTCAATGCTGGAAGGTTTTAAAAGTTTTTGTTTTTCAAAGAGCCTTCAAATTATGCAGAGGAGGACACTGCAGAGCGGACACAGCGGCTGGGAACATGATGATGTGTCATACGTCACTAAGGCTGACCCAACCGCTGAACCAGCTGCTGTGTAACACAAAATCTGCCCAACTCTTTATAAATAATGGCCCGAGAGGCTCCGTCCTACATTGGGGTGGATAAGATAACCCAGCATTTTTCTGTGGGAGGCATTGTAGGGTGGTGCTCTTCATTATTTCATGACAAGGTCTTGCTGGGGCTGCTGCCACTAAAACATTTTAATTTACTCTGTAACCATGATTACTATAGAACATCTGGATTTCCTAGAAGAGAGATAGATCCTCTGAAACCTCCAACTGATGGAGGGTGTCTGTACATCTATGTTGTACATCTATGACTGTAAAAGCTCCCTGAAGCTGTATTATACTATAGATAAAATTGACGTAATGACAGAGAACAAGATGAACTCCTGTCCAGAGGAGACATGGGAGTCATTGATGAACATAACATCCATTAGATGTGACACCAGCAATGTCGCGTGAGGACATTGTTACTGCATGAGTGCAGAGGTGTCTCATGGGTGAGCTGAGGTGTCCCCCCTGTAGTGCTCCATCTCACTTATTATCAATTAGGCGATGTAATGCATAGAAAAATGACCCCAAAGCGCCACCTGACTGAAGCTGGAGTGCATTGTATTAATTGCACCTAGTCCACAGTATTGATCCCTGAATTCTAGTATCTATACAAATGTGTGGCTTAGTTTTTTTTTTTTTTTACTAAATAGATTGACAAATACTGGAATCCCTTGTGCACAGAAAAAAATATTAATCTCCAGGGCAACACTGGGGATGTGTTTACCACAATCCTTGAATGAGAATAATACACACATGAAAAAGACATCATTTACACTAGAGATGAGTCTTGAATGAAAGAAAAGGAGGCTGTAAACAAGCTGAAGGGACTGATTAAGTGATGAAGTGAGAGGATAGAGGGGAAGAATAACAATGAACCCGGTGGCACAGTATGAGGGTGCATGCTGATACACGCTGAGGTGCGTGCACTGTCCTCCAGTTGAGTTCAGGATGACTTTTTTTCCCAGTGCAGCATCCCTAATGATTCAAGCCGCAGAAGTGCTGAGATCATCACAAGTGTGCTTTTACGCAACACACTCGACTAAAGTTTAAAAAACACCCACGACGCCCACGACACCCACAGAACACATGAGTCGACGCATGTCTGATACGCTGGGTTTGAACGAGATCTCTCCCCGCAGCTGGGCCGTGAAATGTCAGAAAATGATCGGACTGCAAAATTTTAATGTTCGTCCTAAATAACTTTACATTTACCTCAGGTCTCTCAAGAGCAGAAACAACAAATCTCTGTGCCCCAGAGAAAAAACCTTTACTGTAAATTATGGAATCATTCACTTTATATAAGTTTATACAGTGAAACGTGGGGGTGGGCGATATGGCTTAAAATGAATATCAATTTTGGGAAGGAGACCGTATTCAGCGTGGTATAAATTCTGTCTCGTGACATCTTTCCACATGAGTCTTGTCATATATGATGTGGAGGGACAGTAGTATGGTTTCTGGTATGAACTCCTCTGGCTCTGGTTGTTCACTCTTTGTTATGGTGTGGGTTGTCTCCTCGTATAATTGGTTTAATTTTTTACAAGGTTGCTTGTATTTCCACATTTGGTTATCATGACACGCCGACAAGGCTTGCAGGCCTGAGCCCATCGGGACCAGCGCTGGATTCAGACACAAATATTTCAATGACATTCCAGTTTGTTTTGGGTTCTTTTACGTTGGCTGGGCAAACTACAAATTATATTTGTTACGCTGATCGTGTTTGTAATCAACAATAACCATGCATTTGATGAGCAGGCTAACACAAACTCAGTGCAGCTTACATTAACTGCATCAGGCTCTGGTCGGGTTCAGAAAAAAAACCAAACTGAAATAGGTTAACATTCGTGTTGGGCTTTGTGATACCTTATATGCCCCCTGCTGGTTGACCTGTCACATTACCACCATAATTATGGTTATCATGTTATCTCTTCAGAGTTTGGCTGAATGAGATCTATCTGTTTAAGAGGAGGCAGGCTCTCTCTCTCTCTCTCTCTCTCTCTCTCTCTCTCTCTCCAATACTGGTGTACTGTTTCTGTTTTTTCCTTTTCTGATGGGTCTGGCAGTCCAGTTTCCGTGGCTTTATTTTTGTTAGGTTTTGTTCATTCTTTTTACTTTTTTTAATACTGTAGTTTGTTCCATGTGGCATTAAAACCGACCCAGGAGAGGTGCCCCCTCTTGTGGCAACTCAGCCATTTGATCCCCCATTCATACATCCCCGCATCCGAAGTGTCCTTGGGCAAGACGCTCAACCTCAAACCGCTGTGCCTGCAGTGTATGAGTAATGTATGATTAAGTGCAGCACATAGATGCTCTGTATGAATGTGTGTCAATGGGTGAATGACGAAACTGTACTGTAAAGCGCTTTGAGTGGTGATTGAGACTAGAAAACTATGATATAAATGCAGACCATTCACCATCAGTTGGGCTGCTCCCTTTTTACCACGCACCAATGAAGGCAACGGCTGATATAGCAATTGTTTCTAACTTTCAGTCAGGAACACTTTGTCATGATTTAATGGGAACACAGTTGTGCTTGGCGTGGATAGCTCCATTCTTTGGATGTTCCCTTGATTAGCCGAGCGGCATTCTAAAATAAAACAGGGAACACGTGCAAAACCTCCAAGTGGGCGTAAGCAGGCAGGATACATTGGTTCAAGATGAATCCAATTACCACAACCATTTTTTTGGGGGGCCTCAGTGCTAAAAGGTGGAGGCTGGGGTGGAGGAGGCAAGTTGCTGCCAGCAGGGCGTCGGTGGCAGTGTTGCTGAGCAGGAAACAGTGCTGAGGTCATCGTTTTTAAAGGGACCACTTTGGTGAGAGAATGGGCTGTGATTGGTGGGTGACTGACAAGCACCAATCAAACCTAGTAAACCCAGTAGCTGACAGCTTATGACAGCTGAGCACGTGACTCCATGTCCCGCATAAAATAACGCAATGTTTCATTTTTCAATTGCTATAAGGACACATATTCAGAAAAACTGAGCATTAGAGGAATATAAATGCTTTACTTTTTGTGATTAGGTGATTGATTTATCACAGTGATGAAGGTATTGCACAATGCGAGTTGCGGTGCACTATCACACCGGAAATGACTGACATCCGCGAGTATCGCTGACCCCTAGCATGATGACAAATCAAGTCTTATGCTACGTGATATTTGTAATATCTGATTGGATCAGCCACGTTAAATGTATTTATTTTCAAGCTAAGCGCTGCATTCTTTTAAAGTCACTCTATGATCAGCAGCTCAGAGGTGCACATGTTTACTGTAAATTTGTTATTCCCTACAGAGAATCACAAATTGCACACTTGGGGGAAGTGATGTGAACATTCCCCTCAGCACATGAGCCCAGAGCATGTAGTCACATTCATTATGGCAGTGATAAAGAGTTAAGTCAACATTCAATAAATCTTTTTTTTTTTTTGCATAAATCAATACACCATCTGCTTTACCTTTCCTGTCACATACAAACCAGGTACATACAATGGTTATGGCTTCTGCTAGATTTCAGGGCCAGTGAGCCAGAAGATTAAAATATCGACATTAGTCATTAGTTTAACTTCAAACATGCATTTGAAAGATCATGTTGAACATCCTCTTGGTATTTTCTTTCAGCATCCAGCATCGCAGGGTGAAGAAGTGTGCAGTGTACAGAAAGGGTGACATGTAGCTGCAAACAGTGCAAAACATTTCTGCCAAGTGTTCCCAGGGTCAACCTAAAACACAGAGTAAATCAATTTTCACCATGATTGTGTGATTTTTCTGCCGCGCTCTTAAAGCCGCAGTGAGAACAATGCAATTCTATTTGCCGTTACAGTGCTTGTTTCCCTCAGCTGCTAGAGGATAAAGGTTTTTTTTTTCTTGAAAACACATGAAAAGGTGGAAATGTATGTTTCCCTTCTCCGTTAAATGCAATGTGGGCCAGTTACCACAAACAAAACAGCAGGCACATTGTGATTAAAATGCACATCCTTTCAACTGCAAAAAAGGAGAGAGCAGACACTTGTGGTTGAGATTACACCAACATGTAGGAACATCTGCATGAATTTTCACCTCGCAGCTATTCATCACACCTAGAACACAACACACACAAACAGGAGATTGAAGATGCGCCCGGACCGAAGGGATGACAGGTGAAGCGTGTAGCGTAACATTTTCTACATTGGAGAGAGATGGGGGTGGTTATAAGAGCGAAAAAGAGGAAAATTGGCAGGTGGACAGTACAGCACTTAGCCTCGGGAGTGATCACAGTCACCACGCTGAGATAAGACTCTGAGAGGTCAATGAGGAAAATCATTAGCTGACAAATAGCCACCACTGTAATGTCATTATAAACTTGGGCTGTAGGAATCCGAGGGTGCATACAACACATGAAAAGGAACAACGGCAGAGACTTTGAAAATTCTTCCCAGTGATAATCATGCACGTCTCACTTTGAGATGGTCATTAAGTCGCACTACACAAATGTAAATTGGAGACCACGGCCGTTGCGGTGCTTTCATTTATGGTTATAAGCTCTAATCCTCCATATTTCCAGGCTCAGAGTTCTTACTGAAGGGAAGATGGCCATTAGTGTGAGGCCAGAATCAGGCTAAAATTATTTTCTCCTCTCGCAGTTTGTGTTTTTCCATTTCTGCTTTGTGTTATAATCACACCAGGTGAGACACACGAGCTGTGTCTCAATTCAGGGGTGGTGTCCTCTGGAGGCTGCATCTGAAGTCTCAGACTGCTCAAAATGCAGCCAAAAATGTGTCCTTTCATCACCAAAAAG